ACCGAGCGATTCTGTGATTCTGTGATTTAATGGCTTCGTGAAATAACAAAACTACTCGTCAGGAAAGCGTCTCATACATTAGTAGAGAATTTTATTTTTCTCCTTTATATATCTGGAGAACAAGGGAAGGATTAACACGGGTGCAACTTTTACTCCATTTATTTACACCTATTTTCTGCATTTCTTAAAAACAGAAATTCTTAACTGGATCCTTTTGCTTCAGCAAAAGTTAACGAATACTTGCAAACAAGGATAAAACCTTCTCATCAACTGCCTTGAAAGGTTGTGAAAAATAGGACTTTAGAAAGTCCAGGATATCAATCCTAGAACCGATACTCTTCCTCACACCAATTTAGACAAGATCTGCTCATTTTATAAAACATTGAGCTATTTTTGTTTTCTCCCTTACTCTGTTTGGAAGAAAGAAGTCTCACCATATTCTTCCCCTCATCAGCACAAAAAAGCAAACAAGCAAATAAAATCTTCCAGAGACCAAATATGAACAAGCTAAACACACTTTTGATCTGAGAGATGATCTTAAAACAGAAAACAACTAAAAGACAGTCTTCCCTGAAAGGCAGTGAACTCTCTCTACCTGTAAACTGCCACACAAGCTGTAAGATGCAATATACTGAGAAAAGAAAAAAAAAACCTTAGCATATACTTGTCAGTTTTGATGCTGAAAACTCAGAACATTGTATTTGAGTACACTAACAAAGGATGCCTAGATACAACATCAGCATTTGCAGAAGGAAAGCAATCATGGCAAGCAAAAGAAAACAACATCAGTATTTCAAATGTTAACCAGGTAATTTTCCATTTAAGCATGAAATGTCATCTTTATTACATGAGCATTAGGAACAATGGAAAACTATGAGCTGTTTACTCTCCTCCATTAAACACACTCAAATCTAAAATTAGAGCCATTTTAAATTATTTTGTCTGAAAATGTCATTTGTTATAATTTCAAATGTTATTTGAAGATGGCAGCAGTACTGAGTTACACCATTGTGCCATTTACTCCTATTAATATGAAAACTTCAGTGAAACAGAATTGTCTCAGATCTTTGTACCTCTCTACACAGTTCTGAAAAGCAACACAGCATTCAGGTGTGCTCTGCCTTACTTTCCTGCACCCAAGGGAGTTCTTCCTGTTGTCACTGCAACAGTTCTTACTCTCCTGCCTTCTAGGATAACAGCATTCACAGGAATTCTCCCTAACCTGAAGTGTAAATTATGCGTAGGGATAGACCTAATGGGCAAGGCCCATTAGCAACTCACCCAGACACAGGAGACAGTCACCTCCCTGACTGAATTTTGATATAAAAAGATAAACTGCGGGAGGCAGGGAGGGTGGCGAATGTACTTAATCACATCTATTCTATAAACATTTCTGCTCTTCATTTGGCTGCTGTACCTTACTGGCGTTGTATCTTTGCAAGGTTTGATGGAGATTTCAAGGCAAATGGCTAACCAGCAGTTCCTTTTCCAAGGTGGAGTAAAATCAAAAGTGAAAGTACTGAGGTGCCTGTGGAAGTGCTGATCCCCAGATCATCTTCCTGAGTGTCCACAGAGGAACATGCCCCAAACAAACAATACTGGCCAACTTGAAAGCTTTTATTCCACTGGGTTTGGCAGAGAAGAAAAACCCCTTACAAGAGTTGTCATGCGGTGGGAACCTTGCTTCCTGATTCCTCACAGGAGCTTGTAATATCACCATACTTGCCTCAACCTCCACTCAAGAGAGCCAAAGGGTCCTTTCCTTGCAAATTCACAAATACAACCCATAACAATCTTGGGCAGACTTAGACCTTAGTTACAGTGGACATATTTTGTTTCTCATTAAACCAGACACTGATGGTATTAAATTTACCTAAGTTGCAGTGTCTGTTTCACACAAAACTGTTTGCTAACCCAGGACAGGATTCCTAGTGAGTGTTACTTTGAGATTGAACTCCTCTTTATAAACTTCTGTATTATAGCCAAACAAGTTTCGTCCCTGCTCTCATCTTCACACACAAAGATAATTTGCATTTTTTTCTGAGCTTATAGCTGTTGGATAATCACATTCAATTTAGGGGTAATTTCACATTAAGAACTGACAGCAAGAACAGCCAAGTTTCAAGAGATCAAAATTATATTACCTGCAAGCAAACCACATGATTACAAAGAGCCATTAAAATATTCTATACGAAACCTGCCCCAATGCAGCTACGTTCATAGGCAGCAGCACTATGGAAAATCTGCTATGCTGTTTGGAGCTATTAAAGCCAGGGGAAAAAAAAGTATTTCAAATACTTGAACTACTAAAAGCATTAAAAAGCATACCCTTAACTGTCACTAATAGCATCTGGTCAGTAGCAACGTTCTTCCAAGAAAGCATATGTGATTTTAAAATTGTAACAGTTTAAGTAACAAACAAGATCCTCTCCTTACCCCTGAGGCATCTGACAGGAGCAGCACATATAAAACGCTTGAATGACAGCACTTAGCCTGTTTGCTGTCATGGAGATAACATCCTGGCAATCAGCACAAGCTTCTTGCTTCCCTGCAACATCGTATGCTTTCAACTCGCCAGCATCAGCAGACGGCTCTTTTCTGCCCTCGGTTCCTGCAGCGGCAAAGGAAGGCGTAGTAGCATCCTGGTGATCTGGACCTTTTTGCTTCAGTAAAATAGAAGTAATGTTGGCAGAGTCCCTTTTGTTTTTCATCAGCTCTGTGGCTATAAGAACGAGCCATTCATCCAGCGAATGCCAGAGCAGTTCCAGTGGCTGCAATAAACACATGCAAAAAAAGACAAAAAAGGAAGATGTTGACACTAGATAATATTCATGATGTGATAATCCTCTTAAGGCAAATAAATATCATGCACATTTAAAAGCTTTAAATAATCCTTCAGAAGCTATGTTAGAGATAAGAGTTCAATACTGATAAAAAATTCTGTACTTACAGCCACAGAGCACAAAGAAAATTTCATACAGAAGGAAAACAATCAAGAAGCAGATGGAATAAATACAAAATAATTTAGAAAGGGTGTAACACTGAGCTATTTAACAGAGTTTGGCCTCACAGTTGTTACAGAGCACACTACTGCCTGACTGCTGCAGTCAAGCAGAGAGGCAGAAATACACATGTTGAGTTTCCAGAATAAGAGCGTGTTGGTTCTTTTTTAGGCCCTGGTCACAGAGGGTCCCTGTACCAGGCAGATGGAGCAAACCCCAGAAAACACCACTGAGATTCAGACTCATGCACATACCTAGTAAGATGTGCTTTATGCACAGCGTGAGCTCACAGAGCTCATTTTGATAGTATTTCAGATGTCTTAGAGTAAGGATCACTAGTATCTAGCTTTATGAAATAGAAATAAGTATCACTAGAATTGCCTATCTATTTTGAAAGATATAAACCTTATTTTATTTGGTCAGTCACTCCTTATTCACTACCACCAGCTTAAAACCAATATACTCAAAACCTGGTACAATTCCATCAGTATGCATTTGCTCTGCTGCAGCTTTCTCATGAGCATTTAAAAAAGCACGAGGGCTGGCTGTGCTGTTCCTTCGTGGTGTTTAAGGGGACGTTTCACAAACGTACAGTCTAGTGAGCACAGCGATGTGTATCCTTACAGGAAGGCAATTCTGACTCAAGTCTTCCATAGCATTCCAAAAGTAAGTGTGAACTTCTAATTGCGCTCCTTTTTCCATGTATTACTGCTACATCAACATTTTTCACCAACTGCAGCATTCAAGGGCTCAGCAGATACTGAAAATTATGTTTTCATCTTCTAAAGTTGCCTTTAAAAATCAAGTTGCCTTTAAAAATCAAGATCTATTCACAGCAAACCGTGCCAGAATTATACGTAATAGGGACATGCTCTCAATACATGATAAATTAATTATCATAAAATCTGTTTATTAAAGAACTGCATTGAAAAATTTGCCATTAATCTTCCATTTTTTCCCCAATAAGAAGTTTGGGGAAAGTCAGCCTGATCTCTAAGAATGGCAAGCTTTGCTCGACTGTACAATACTCACTTCAATCCCTGTGCTCCTAGGGACCACACATTTCTCTAGATGCTGATCTCAATACCTCCAAGTTTTCTGCATAAATGTCCGTCATACAGGATAAAGTTTGCTTCTTTCCAAGATCTACCTGGCAGACCTCCACCACAAAACATAATGTAAAAAAAACTTTCTAATGGAAAACAGGATTCATGGAATATACTGAAGAACAAAAATGCAACCATGTTCTTACCATGTAACTCATAAGAAATTAGGTAGTTATTTACTAGAATGCTAAAATGTAGTTATCTTCTCTCAGACTCTTCAATGCTTAGCTTGTCAGACACCATTTTCCTGCCATTACTTTGTGTTTTATCTTTGATTTCCCACAGTCTTAGCATGCCTTTCAGGACTCTCACAACTGATTTTTTTTTTCCAAAGCTAGTTTTTCACAGATTCTGATCACAAACTCATTCAAAAAAGTGTAGTCAAGCATAGCGAATTCAACATTCCGCTTGATTTTTTTCCTAGTCTAACTCCAGTACATAAAGCACTTCTCTAAATACTGCCTACCACCTCCATATCCACCACTGTCAGCATTTTGTGTTAGCATCCATGATCAGACCTTTTCAAGAGTAATATGGACACACAAATCTGAGTATGATCAAGTACCAAGCTTTTACAGCTGCACACCTCATATCTCAAATCCAAGGATTTAGACCTTTCTCTTTACCCATCAAGAAAGCAAGACACTAGAAATCAAGTTCATATTCAAACTGTGACATTGAAGCAAAGTCTTTTGCCAGGTGACAGACAGTGTCTTTCAGGACACAGGGACCAGGAGATCACTAATCCATGATGCAACTGTGTCACACCAGGAGTCAACAGAATTCTAGGAAAGAGTAGTGTCAGAAATGAGGGAAAAATGTTACGGGCTTTCCAACTTCGTTCAGTGAGATGGAAATTTTGCAGCAAGTTTCCCTAACATGATCATACTGAACAGCAATTGGAAGAGCGATACATGCAAAAGTAATGAATGTAAATTTTGTCAGAATCACAATTCATAAAGTGCCTCACTGGTAGGATCTCATCTGAGTTAGCAGTAGCTTGTTTCAAGATGGGTGTCAAAATTCAATGACTACTTTGTTTCTTGCAAGATCAGTACAAGAGTGTGTGTTAATTAGCCAGTGTTTCCACTTTAAAGCATTTGGATAGGCATGAATTGACCTGACCTGTAATGAATTACAAAGAGGGAACTTCAGTAAAGCAAAGATGGCCTTGCAATTTTCTCAGTAGCCTCACATCAAGATATACTCACATTCTGAAACCCTTCCAAGCTGGATTACAGGGGCAACTCTTCAAAATGTGTTCTATCAGTATACTAATACAGAAAACCTTAACACAGCATTGAGAAAAATGTCAGAAGAAAGTTTTTCTTCATTTCTTATACTGGATAAAATAATGCTTTTGCACCAGCTTTTTAAAAGGAGTTATGAAGTACACCTTTAAAGGTCATGAGGTACAAATCTATTTGGACCTAATGAGTGCATTCAGAAGGAAAGAAAACAATCCCTTATACCATGCAGTACAGCTTGGTAATGTTCCTCCACATACCCCACAGGGGTACCAGCAGACAGAACTGCTGACACTGCTGACCTCAGTCCTCCCCAGATAAAAGTTTCTAGGTCCATTTTTGTAAGTCTTGAACAACAGATTAGCTTCCTATACAGTAAAGACAGTCAGGATCTAGAGGTCTTCACTCACAAATAAAAAGCACTAAAATAAGTGGGTGGTGACCTGTATCACTCTCCTATGCTCTGGAGAGTACTCAAGACCTCCCATGGGCTACAAATAAGCAATCTGAGAGACTTGCTTTTCCCCATAAAAGTTGTATCATCATTCAAATTATCTATGACATCTATCCCCACAAGCGAATTTTAAGATCGGCAGCAAATTCCAATTTAAAGCTACTTTCCTCTAAAATTTTCAATATGGATCTCAAGTGTAAAATTTTTAAATCCCATGTTGACTTTTTAAATACAGATTTAACTCCCATTTTGGAGTAGTAACCTCTGTGGTTTTCTTAACTGTCTGTACTAAAGAGTTACACAGCCTATATTCAAGGAAACTCACATAAAACAAAAACCAGAAAAGGAGTTCTTTGTCACCAACCCGCATGTCTCACATGCAAGCACTGGTACCAATGAAGACATAAAACTGCCAGGTCTTCAAGTGGCCTCCGTACCATTGCAATAATCTAGAGATCTAGTGGGCATTCTTCCCTTCTCACAGAAAGCAGAAAGGATCATCACAACCACGTTTTCAAGGAAAGAACAAAAAAGGAGGAAAGGGAAGGTAGGAATAAGAGAGAATGGGAAGTCATCCAATTGACTCAGCACTAAGCTTCATCTCCCACTACCCAGGGACTGTAAATTCAGGGAAGAACGGGCCAGTCCAACCACAACTGAAGATTAACTTAGCATTGCCAGATAAGCGTGACCCATTCCCAAACAAGAATAAGTTCTCAGCAGTTTTGTATTTGAGTTTGAATTTTAAATCAACCTTAAAAATATCACTAAGACAACAGGGGCTCTAATGAAGGGCTACCTCAGTTTTAATAGTTCCAAAATAACTAAATTAAAATGACAGCAATAATAATTTTTAAATAATCCTGAACTTTTTGTTTTGTTAGCTAATGCAACTGTAGTATATATTTTGCTCATTAATTAAAAAACAAAAATGTTAGTTTTACACAATTAAGAATTACTTATATTTTCTGCAATATAAGTCTACTGCAAAAGACTTAACTCCATACTAAATCGAGAAACAATTCTTTCAGCATACAAAGTAGTCTGGGCACACAGCTAAGTGAGCCTGCTGAAATACAATTTCCTTCACAAATTGCAATTCAGTGTTTTTGTTTGTCTTATAGTAAGTTCTGAAATTATCTGGAGGGCTTTGTTTTTTGAAAATGGAATCTGTTTAAACTCATAATGTGCCAATCTAGCTCAACATATTTTGGTGAACAACTCTAACAGACAATCATTATATTGCATATCATACAAAGCATTATGTTTTGCACACAGTATTTTTCATACTCAAGCATTAGTTTTATACTCATTGTATAAATCGACTTGTTATTAAAGCTATTTTGCTATCAGAAAAGCAAACATTTGTGCTTGTTTTTTTTAATTGTCTAAAGCTTTCCTTCCCTCCAAGAAAAGAAATCTAAACAAAAACTGAACTACTTAACTAAATACAGCTGGAATTAGAGTATCATCTTTCAGGACCTTACCAATATAGCTCTGTCTTAAGTCATGTTCATCAGGTTACTTCTAATATCATATCATCAAATAAAGGCAGGAATTTCAAAACATTATTTTAATAACAACTTGAAAGAAATGCAAAGATTAAGGAAAACTCTCATGTAATCATCGGCATCTAAATTTTGTGATATGAACTGTGCCATATAAGACGATGGAGGGAGACGGAAAAAAAGAGACTACCCTTCAGTTATTATTACTTAGGTGCTCTGAATAGTATATAAATTATATATCCAATGCCAATTGAGTGGCACACAGGAAACTGGAACTACTTTACAGAAAGGCAAGCTGGGAATTTCTACAGAGGGATTCCTCAACCAGCAAGTATATAAAAAAAACCAAACCAAACTTGAAAAATTAAAACAACTAAATGGCAAGCACCTAAAGCAAGTGTTTGAAAACAGCTATAAATCAATAATCTTGTGAGGGTGATAGTAAGCTGGTATGTTTCAAAGCATGCAATAATAAAATTCAAGAACAAATTGGGAAAAAAATTCATTATCACAGTGAAAACAATGAACAGATTAAGAATTCAGTTGTTTCTATTGATCTTGTGAAGCTAGATAAAATTGAACAATCAGAACTGCCAATGATCCTCCAAATCCCATTCTAAAATTACATTAATGCAATCTGGTATATTAATATTACCACATTTTGCAATTTCTACACTCTTAAATAAAATAACAGAAATGAAAATAAAGTTTACCAAAATCAGCTGGGTAACCAAACCTTCAACACCTAATAAACAATACATTAAACAAGAAATAAACAGAAATCATAAGATGAGATGTGCATCAGTGGTCAAAATGAATCCAGTGGAAAAAAAAATAATTAAGGAGAAATAAAGAGGTAGGCTTAACTTAAGAAGGGATAGGGACATCAACCAAACTTACTTCCTGTTCATGAGATGTCTGATTAATGAATGCATGCTTTGTGAAATTCATCTCTTTAACGTCTATCTTCCTAACAACATCATATACTTTTCTGACCTTGAACACCTGACTTCTTGGAGTTTTATTTCCATTGTAGCCCATGTCATTTCCATTACTGGGAGAGGATGGGCCAATGCGAAAGACATGGCAAAATATCCTCACGATCCTTAAGAGACTCTTCATTTGAGCTTCATAATTACTTGACAAGCTGGGGGAAAAAATGGAATATTTAAGTTTCTTTTCCTAGATGAAACAATTTAGTATATCAAGGAGGAAGCAGTGTAATGGTAGGGTCTGACACACATGCTGAAAAAACCCTAAGCTTTAAACCCTAATGAATTTTAACTTTTCTTTCCTGTACCAGCCCCAAATGTTAAGCATAAGCACTATAATTTTACTAACATATACTCAACATTTTAACTAGAATTGAAATAAGAACTGTAAATACCAGATTTTGCAAAATACTTCATTTGGTTTTATGCACATGTAGACTTCTTCTGAACCACTGGTAAGAAATTCAGCTAACTAGAGTAAGAATCTCAGTCTATTAAACAAATTGAGATATCCAGTTGAAAATGTTTTTCGATTCTGAAAATTGAGCATCTAATGGTAAAAGTGTACTGACTAATCAGATATGCTGCCACATCCCCTCACCGTCTAGTTACTATCCTAAATAACAATTAACTACCTCAAGTAGACAAGAAATCAGGATAATAAAGATGGCATTATTTCTACTCAAGATAAATATGATCTAAAAGATACTACATAAAAGCACCAGTATGCTTTTTATTTAAGCAATACATATTGGAAGTTTTATGCCTTCTTAACTGAACTGGCCAACACTGATGTACCAATACAGCATAGAATCTGAGATACTCATGAGTTCATGTACAAGCAGAACATTCTCCATCAAACTCAACTTAGCTTTCTTTCCTTAAATTCCAAGCAGTAAGAATTCTTCTATCTTGAACACATAACAAAAACAGCAAGAAATTGAAACTTTTTCTACTGAACTTTACTCACTTATAAATATTATACAAGTGAGTACATACTCCGTTCTATCCTTAAAGTACTTGCAACTTAGAATCACGCTTTTTAAGATAGGTGCCAGTTTTCTGGTGTATACCTTAGAGGATACTGTAAACCTCTGCTGCAATTACTAATCCACTAATTCACAAATCTGAAACGCAGCTAGTTGTAACAACAAGGTACAGTTATCATGACCTGACTCTCCAGTGGCATAGGTAAAAGCAAAAGACTTACTTGTTTACAGCACCACATGTTAATCACAGAATCACAGAATATTAGGAGTTGGAAGGGACCTTGAAAGATCATCCAGTCCAACCCCCCTGGCAGAGCAGGATCACCTAGACCAGGTCACACAGGAATGCGTCCAGGTGGGTTTTGAATGTCTCCAGAGAAGGAGACTCCACAACATCCCTGGGTAGCCTGGTCCAGTGCTCTGTCACCCTCACAGTGAAAAAGTTTTTCCTCATGTTCATGTTGAACCTTCTATGGTCCAGCTTGCTTCCATTGCCCCTTGTCCTGTCATTGGCTATCACTGAGAAGAGCCTGGCTCCTTCTTCCTGACACTCGCCCTTCACAAATTTATAAACAAGAATGAGGTCACTCCTCAGTCTCCTCTTCTCCAAGCTAAAGAGACCCAGCTCCCTCAGCCGCTCCTCATAAGGGAGCTGCTCCACTTCCTCCATCATCTTTGTGGCCCTGCACTGGACTCCTTCAAGCAATTCCCTGTCCTTCTTGAACTGAGGGGCCCAGAATTGAACACAATATTCCAGATGTGGTCTCACCAGGGCAGAGTAGAGGGGAAGGAGAACCTCTCTCGACCTACTAACCACAGCCCTTCTGATACACCCCAGGATGCCATTGGCCTTCTTGGCCGCAAGGGCACATTGCTGGCCCATGGTCATCCCCCAGGTCCCTTTCAGCTGTGATGCCCTCGTTGAATTTCATTTAAGTTTTTCCCCGCCCAACTCTCCAGTCTGTCCAGATCTCGCTGAATGGCAGCACAGCCTTCTTGAGTGTCAGCCACTCCTCCCAGTTTGTGTTGTCAGCAAACTTGCTGACAGTGCACTCTGTTCCCTCGTCCAGGTTGTTGATGAATATATTGAATAGTACTGGTCCCAGTACCAACCCCTGGTGGACTCCACTAGATACAGTCCTCCAACTGGACTCTGTCCCACTGACTACAACTCTCTGACTTCTTTCCTTCAACCAGTTCACAATCCATCTCACTACCCCATCATCTAGATCACACTTCCTTAGTGTAGTAGTAGTTAGCTCGCAGTTTAGCTACGAGGATGATGTGGGAGACGGTGTCAAATGCTTTACAGAAATCAAGATAGACCCCATCCATTGCCCTACCATCATCTATCCACCTGGTTATATCCTCATAAAAGGCTACCAGGTTGGTCAAACATGACTTTCCCTTGGTGAAACCACGCTGACTGCTCGTAATGACCCTCTTATCCTTGATATGTCTGGAGACAGCACCGAGGATAAGCTGTTCCATCACCTTTCCAGGGATGGAGGTGAGGCTGACCGGTCTGTAGTTACCTGGGTACTCCTTGCCCTTTTTGAAGACTGGAGTGACATTTGCTTTCCTCCAGTCCTCAGGCACCTCTGCTGTTGTCCACAACTTACCAATGACTGCCATTGAGGTGCCAATTTTAAAAAGCTACACACTAAGAATTCTACCAAACTGATATAGAAAGTATGACTATCTTGTCACAATTTAGGCTTCAATCAGATAAGTTTTCAGTAAATCTAGATGAAGAAAGGATTACAAAGAGTAAACAGAGCAAGAGCAAGAATGTTGAGTTTTCAGGTAATGAAAATTCCCTGATGGGCAGACCAGGTCATAGACACCAATTAGCATTTGGAAAAGTCTTTGCTTGTATACCAAGCATACCACGAATACAAGAGGCTAACTCAAGAAGCTAACTTAAGTATTGGAAAAACAAACATTTAAATTGAGGTTTATCATCCCTCAGCAGCAATGTTTTCCTGGTGAAATTTCAGTTTAAATTTCCTGGTCTCCAAAACAGGACTTAGATAAACAGGAAAACTTTGAAGTGCTTTTAATAATTTACCAAAGTTTTTACTATCACATCTGTAAGCAGCAAACTTGGCCAAATCTCCACCAGCAAAACCGAATCATGTCATGCTACAATTATATCTTGCAAAGAGCAAATACGCAATGGAGGTAATGCTAACTGAACAGGCTTCTTGCAGCAGAAGTCCTCAGGCAGAAGCATGGGCACACTCCTGGCTACCTGCTAGAAGCATTACAAAAAACAACTTAAGACACTTTCAAACTAAACCACTAACAAACCCAACTGCAGATACAACCCAGGAAATTAACAGTGATGATACCAGTTCAGCCATGCATGAGTATCGTTATTGGAGGTTTAAATGTACAAAGTGCATTTTACATCCTATTTGTTGGAAGGAGGAGTAGAAAGAAGCCCAAGCTCAGAGGTTTGCATTCACCTTCATCCTCATTATGTTAATAGTAAAGCAAGTGAGAAATACTTAGTTGAAGTATAGACTGAAACCTCTGACACAGAACAGAACTGGAGAAAACAAGACAGTTTTTTGTGACTGTTTCTAGTAATAGAAAAAAAATAACTCCATTCCCCTTATGACATATTACGAAGTACCACAGAGAAGTGGGCCAGTAAGAGTCCACAGGACACCCTAGTACAGGCATCTCTGAAAATGTCTGCCCATCCAACCCAATGCAAAAGCTTTCAACCTGTCTGCAGCCACCGCTAGTCAACCCCTATGCAGTAAGGAGTACATATGGGCTCAAATTCAGAGACAGTACAGGTACATAGATACCATTTCTACAACATTACTCAACGCAGAGAATGAATAACAGTAATAAATCAAATCTAAATAACGCAATCAGTTTAATTTCTCTCTGAAGAGACTGAAATAAATACTGCCTCATATGATCTAATCCAGCTACCACAACTTCTGAAAATGTCCCCATACAAAGCAAGTTTGAAACCCTTTCCTGAAGAATGGTTTTACACTTCATCATGGTTTATTTGTGGGAGATATATTGATTCTAATGAAGTTCGGAGATGAAAGGAATGTGTTAGCAGTTAAGGTCATTACACACTGAAGCCCAACAAGAGGTAAAGTTCATCAAAAAGTTATCTTTGCAGTAACAAAGTGTCATTAATATGGCTATGCACTTTAACCCCAAACATTCGAGGGGTTTAAGTCTTTTATGCTCATTCGTGGAGGCGAACACTTATCAGAACAATAATGTGATGAACGGAGTCATGAATTTCCCAGCATTGTCTAGGAGTTCTGACCTGCTATCTACAAGCTCCATTCAAATTTAACATGATTGATGGGAAAGAAAAAATAAAAAGCACTTAGAACTAAGAAAATGTTATTTAGTACTCATCTAACTGATGGTCTCTTTGTGCCCCAGCCTCAACTGAAAAGAAGCACTGAAAGTCTTATTCCTCTACAACCTCTGCTGTCAGGACTCCCCAGTTATGGAACAGTCTTAATCCACTCTTTTCCAAAAAGCCAGGCATAACATGTTAGCAAGGAACTTCCTCTCATACTTTCAGGCTCTTGACCTCTCTCAGAAAAGACTTTCTTAGCTTTTAGTGAAGCATAAAGATCACAGCAAATTCTGCTAGCTATTGAAAACAGTAAAATGTTAGTTGTGTTCCAACAGACTACAGATGAGGTGTTTTACACAAACTCCCTCAAACAAATGCCACAAAAACTAAGAAAGTGTACCAGAAAAATATGCTTGCCTGTTCTATGTGTTTCCTCAAGTAACACTCCTTGTGCTGCTGAGACAGCACACTGGTAGATGAAATTTTGGATCTTGTGTTAGTAGTCATGAAAGGAAACCAGAGTCAGAAAAAATGAGACAAGTGTCTGAAGTAACAAAACATACTCAGTTACTGAAGTAACTCAAACACACAAAGCAAGCATGCAGAAAGCAAAGATGTGGAATAGAAGCAAAAAGGAGAGAGGAAAAAAAGGAATGATTGGTAGTTGGCCAAAAAGCTTCCCTTCCTAGAGCTGACATAGCCAAACTAACCATACAAAAACCACACTTCTCTGCAACTCAAGCTTCCAGGTGCCAGCAGCTCTACAATGACACCAACTTTCTCCCTGAAGTCTTTGTGAATACAGTGATCTAAACAGGCACTGTTGTACAGACTCAGATTTGAGATCCACCTTCTCCAGCATGTGCCCAGTACCATATCGCCTAGATGATTAAAACTACTAAGTAGCACTAACTACTATCAACCTACTTATGGTCCTCTCACACTTACCTAAGCAGTTTGTGACCATTCGTTGTAGCAACTTCAGCAAGACTTGTTAGGATTTTAAGATACTGGCTTTCGCTCTGCTGAGACAAGTGTTCCAGAACTTGCCGCAACTGATACATTAAGAGAAAAGAAATTGCATAGTGTCATGGAGCGTCAGATCAACATTTGATTTAAAACACCATCACCCAAGCATTAATATCTACCAATACTAACATATGTCTACATTGTCCAATGTCTAATCTAACCTCAGTTAATATTTCAGTCAAGAAACAAAAATTCTTCTCCTTGCTTCTTCCTTGCCTTAGATTGCACTACAATAATAAAAGAAAAAAGATCTGCTGAAAAAGGAACAGAATAGTTTCATTTACAGCAATAATAACCAAACGAAATTGCAGCTGCAATCTTTTGCACTCTAATTTTACAAGGCAACTTCATACAGATGAGTTGTCATAGTCTGAATGGTTCAAGTTCATTCTAGGTGATTCAAGCCTCAAGACACATCCTAGAATAGATATCTGCAGATAACCACTAAATGAAGGAAAATAGGCCTCATTACGCAAAGTAGCTGTGTATATATAGATGCTCTACCAGTACGTTCATATTGAAGTTTGCAACAAGTCTGTTCTTTCAATTCTTACACTGTCTAGACCACTTTGCCAAATATGCAAAGCTTGAACACTAAATTAAAACTGACCCTACATTTAGTCTCAAATTTTTGTGTTCAAAACGATGTGAAGATTGTACATTTTCCATGGAGGAAAGAAAAGTACTGCAGTCTACTGACAGTCAACTGTTGGTTGGGTCTTCTAATCAGGACACTCATATTAAGCAATGAGCTCTTCACAACACAGACAGATCAGTAACTATAAAATATATAATACTGTATTACCATGTTCTCCCGTAGATCTTCATTCTGCGTCATTTGAATTATTGTCTGGAAAAGTCGAGGATGATAATGGATTAAGACTTCACAAGTCTCTCCATATCCACCCTAGAAAGCAATCGTTCGAAACTCATTTTAATTAAAAGAAACAGTAGAATTGTGTTTTATACTATTATAGGCCTTAAAACCTACTGTTGACTTCAAATATATTTTTTTCATGCTGAATGGAGAAATCCAATCCTAAAATAAACTGAAATTCAATAACGTATCAAGGTTAGATACACGATGTTTGGGAGAAGATGGAATCAAATTATTTCACTCTAATGGCTCACATATATCCACTCTCTTCTTTTTTTTTGACACACTTTCCTATTTAGAAAGCCAAAGTTACATTCAAACAACATTTCCCCAACAGTTTACCAGATGTTAAAAACAGTGCAATATTTAGCTTCTCTTCTGTCTTCCCTGAAGGATGACACACCTACCTAAACAGGCCAGAATCTAATCCTTCAAAACAAGTATTTTCCTAAAGGTTCATAAGGCACAAATCTGACTTGCTAAAGGAAAAAAATAGGAAAACTCATGAAAGGGTTATTTAACTTCAAAATTAATATACAAGTATGATTCCACTTGTGCCTTAGATCAACAGCTCAGAGCAATCTCACAACCTTCTGAGATTTATTTTTTTTCTTGAAAGAACAAAACTTAAATTTGTGGTTTATTTGTATCAACTCTTATCTGACACAGCTGCACTTTTAAGCAGGCACCCAACATCTGAATATACTTTAAATTCTACATTGGCAAGATGAGCATGTAATGTATTAAATGCTGCAACTCCAGAGGCTCTTTCTCTTTGCATGACAGTTCATAATTTGCTTCAAGGATAACAGATTCATTAAAGAGATTCATTTAATTGTTCCTGGTGCCAAGAACTTAAGTAATAAAATTGAACACACACAGCTCTTCAAAACAAAGGTAATAGTATGTTGACAAGAATTATATGAACCTATAATTTCAATCTTCTAAAAACCATGTATCTACTCTGAAAAAGAAACCTGTAAGCAAAGATAAAACCCTTGATGTAAAAGAAAATGTTTTGCTTTCTGGTTTTTTCCTTAGTATCATAAGCTTGTAAACTAGATGATCTTGAACACAGTATGATCATCACTACAAAACACCAAACACCAGGTGTCACTACACACACCTAGAAGAAGTTCACAGAATTCTGATGTATTAAGCGGTGCCCTAGAAATTAGAAAACCAGACACTGAAGCAGACATTCAAAACACTAACCATAAAAATCAAGAATAGTACATTTAAATTTACTTTCTTACAGGTCCGTGGCTACAGGAAGCCTCAATTGAATAGACTTGGTGTGGTTTTATGGCAAAGGTAAGTACTTCTGACATAATAAAAAGAAAACTAACTCTGAGCTTCACAGTTGAGTCAATAATGAGACAGTACAGTGACCTGGTACTTCTGAGGAATTGGAGCAAAGGACTTATTAGGATTTCTTATATCCATAAAGAAATGCTGCAAGAACCCAACTTGATCAAGACCTTTCACAGATAGTCTATGAAATAAATTTTTCCATAGTTAAACATTCCAAAAAATATCCCATGAGTAATGAAGACAGCAGTCTCTTCCATATACACAGCTACTTCAACTGCAGGCACATGCATAATCTTCGGAAATTAAATAACTCCAGATTACTTTGATCTATTAGTACAGCAAAAGTTCTGAACATTTCAACTTTATCCTGCCAAACTAAAGACATGCACCAGGGTAATACGATGTTCACTAGGTGCAGTGATTTTTTTTTCCAGTCTCCAGTTCACAGTTTTCTAGTCTGATGATTTCGAGCAAAGGTTCAAAAGTTTCCATTCATTAATTACGTGTTATTTACACACTGACTTTAAATTGATCCCACAGGAAAAAAAAACAAGTGTTCACAAATCAAGAAAATACACCCTAGCAAGCAGTACAAACATTATTTGGTATCAAGCAAGAAAGACTGTGTTTTGCACAGCGTATTGGGTCTGGCTGAAATTGAGTTAATTTTCCGCACAGCAGCCCTCACAGCGCTGTGCTTTGTATTGGTGTCTAGAAAGGCGTTGATAACGTGTGCTTTGGCTCCTGCTGACCAGCACTTGCACAGCGTGAAGGCTCTCTCCAACTTTTCCCCATCTTACCAATACACTGAGGGTGGGGAAGATGTCGGAAGAGGACATAGCCAGGACAGCTGACCCAAATGGGCCAAAGGGATATTCCACACTGTATGACATCTGCTCAGCAATACAAGCTAAGAGAAAGGAGGAAGCAGGGGGCATTCGTTATTTACATTTGTCCTACAGAGCAACCGCAACATGTACTGACGCCCCGCTTCCCGGGAAGTGGGAATCATCACCTGCTGATGGGAAGTAGAGAATAAAATATTTTGTTTTCCTTTGCTTTCACCTGTGGCCTTATTAGACGACAAACAAAATCATTCCTTTTTGCATGCCTTTACCTCTTACTTGTTAACAGTTAAGCATCTAAACAGCAACTGTTGCTATTAGGTCAAGGATTCCTAAACTTTCTAGTCAAATGGAGTTCCACAAATTCTTTGTTCCTCATGAGCTCAAATCTTGCAAAGTCTTTAATGGGATCTCATTGACATCTTTAAAGTCTTTTGCAAAGGGCACAAATTTCAAACCTGCCAAAAATTATTTGCAATTTAATTGAAAGAAAAAAAAACCATTTTTGCATTTCTGTTTTGCCAAAGTACTACTGTTTTTCACAGGCCTTAAAACTAAAAAGATAACACTGATCAAGTGACACTGTAGTAAGCAATAGAAGTTCGCATTCAATACCTGTACACAGAGATCCAGGGGAGTAACACCGTTTTTGTCTGGTAAATACTTGGCTCCTCTCATCAAAAGAATTTGTGCAGTGTCTCTCTGACCATGGCTATTCAAAGGAGAAGAAGAAAGACAGTTAATATAGCACTTATGCTCCACTATGAGTTATAAATCTCTCTTTATTGCATCTAACAAAAAAACCCAACATAAGCTAGGGCAAAACAAAATAGTTATGGTATGAAACTAAGCAGAAGCAAAGGACAGAAGATAATGCCGCTTACATTCTTCTACTACCTTTCAAGGCCACTTCAGAAGCACAGCATAAAATTAAGTATGGCCCACTTATCAAGCCAGAGTCACCTTGATTATTCAGAAGTAATTCATCTTAGCCTAGCCTCATAAATTATTTATATCCCTCAATACCTAGAGCATATAATTTCCAAACTCCCTTTTTCTGAAGAAAATGAGAAGCTAGGCACCAGTGATTAGATGCTGACTTCATTATAAACACATTGAAAGACTAGCTGACCATTGCCTTCACCAATATTTAGTGCATATACTGACAAATGTTAATACAGTAGTATCCACAGGGTGAAATGAAAGACTGATACAAAAGACATAGCAATTAAGGTTATGGATACAAGTTTTTCCACAAAGTTCTAGATCACAAGCTAGTTTGCAGTCCTCCCCTTACACAAATGAGTATTTGCTGTCTCAGAACAGTTCAGGAAGGGCAGAAGAAAAGCAATGGCTGAGGAGCAAGAAGCAGCTTCACTGGTCTCTCAACAGTTCCCAGCCGAGTTCTCCTCATCCATGTTCTTCCAGTCCAGGAAACCAACAGGTTAATCTCATGCACCAAACTTTACCCCAGTGCAAACTCAGCTACCAGGTATCAGAAAGGAGCTAAGACTAATGGCCCACTGAAGCACTTCTTCACTGTAATTCTCTATACTAAGTGGACAAACCAACACCTTGAAAAACCAGACATTTTTTCAGAGTTTCAGAGTCAAATTTTGAGCACCAACACCCTTTCTCCAGCCATCACTAGCCACTGCTACCACATCCTGCTCTCCTTGCCACCAGGCACTTGTGAGATGTTAACTTCCACTACACGCTTCAGTCTCTTTTCCAGCACTCCAATTGCTCATTTCTAAAAGAAGATTACCACTGTAGCTGCAATGCATTCTTTTCTCATTGAAAACCTCCAAGCCAAGGCAAGTTGTTTACTTCTTTTAAAGTGGATGCCAATGCCAGTCCCTAAATCAAGTACCGAGGCATTCAGTTAGCTAGCAGCTATTTATTCTCCATTTCCCCTTCTTCTCAACTGCCAAGAGTTTGCATACGCTAACTCCAGAGACCAGGGCTCCCACAACATAATTCTTGGCAGGCCACCAGGTCAGTCCATTTCTCCATTTGTTTATATTAACATTTAATCATAGGTGACTATTTAACCAAAGCAAAGGGATTACAAAATTCTCAATGTTCTAACAAATAGCAGAAATGCTCCAATGAAAACAAAAGGTCATTTATCATGTGATATCAGTTTCTAAATGAAACTGAATTGTGACGAAAACAGAACTGATCAAAGCAACAATGTAATTTCAATCCAACATTTAGGCCTACATGCACACTTCATGTAGACTGTAACACCACAACATCCATTTAAAAAGTCAAAATTTCATTATAAAAGCCTGCATTTTTAGAAACTGACGAGTGTAGCAACCACCAGCTTAATTACTCTTACTTCTCAACATAGGGGGTCATCCCACAAAAGGATCTTAATAATGGCATGAAAGTCTGGTAGACTTCTATTTACAAATGACTAAGAAGGAAGAGGCAGGAAGGTTATCACTACTCAACAATCCCCAAGATTTGCATGTGAAGAATATCGACCCACTACAAAGAATGACTCAAATTCTTACCATAAAATACACTCGTTTTACAGAGCCATAGAAAAGATAAAAACATTACTCAAAATACTCTAAGTTAATGGAGCTCATTTTTTTCAGAAGAAAGTTCAGCAGTCATTGATTTATGACTCATGCTAGAACACGCAAAGCTACGTGTTTAACATGTCTGGTAGAATAAGATATAAGTCTGCAGTACTAAGTATTTACAGAATCACAGAACGTTAGGAATTGGAAGG